TTTTTTTTTCTCATTTCCCCCTACCTTTAAGAAGCTCCCTTAATGAGAATTGTTGCATTTCCTATTGGACTTTTATTTCAAAGGCTTATGTTTTGAAATGGAGACAGATTCAGCCAGGATAAGTGGAAAGTTTAGAATGCAACACATACACATTGATATAATGTAGTACTTAAAATGTATTTATTTGGCTATGGTCACTGAGATGAGTAAGGAATTCCAAAGACATGTCAATTCAATGAAGAAACCAACATAGTGGCAAAAATAATCGTCAACATTAACTGGGATGTAATGAGAAGATAGAGTATAAACCAAGATTTTATGATTGGATGAAAGGATAAGCAAAATGTGATATATGATTTCCACAGTGAATTTTAGGCCAGCTAGGACTACAGGGAAACCCTGTCTCAAAAAAAATATTTATATGACTCATTTAACAAATGTGTTCTGTGAAGTATATTGTCTGGTAGTTTCATCACTGTACATATCATAGGACGTACACAAACCTGGATAGTCTAGCTTTATGACATACCAAGTTGCATGGTGTATCCTACTCTTACTAAGTCATAAACTTCTATCACATGCTACTTTACTGAATACTTATTGTAATTGTTATTACAATACATGAAATTGTATTACAATGGCAAGTAAATTGTAATGCTAAGTATTCACATACCTAAACATTGAAAATGTACAGTAAAACCACAAAACGGAAGATTAAGTAAACGGTATTTCTGATAGAACACTTACCCAGAATGAAGCTTGCAGGACTGGAACTTACTCTGGGTGAGGGAATGAGTCAGTAGTGAGTGAGTGTGCACTCGAATGTTACTGTGTACTTTATTAGTCTTTATAAACGCTATACACAAGCTATACTACATTTACAAAGCATGCTTTTCTTTCCTTTAAAAACTGTTAGCATATTATAACATTTTAATTTTAACCTTTAATTTCTTAAATTTTGTGACACTTGTAAATAATATCTATCCAAACATCATTAGCTCTTAGTCTCCTTTCCAACGATTATTCATCATCACTATTCATAAAATTATCTAGTCAAAATAGAAGATGGAAAGAGTGGATAGCTGCACCAAACCAGTATTTGTTGGGCATGACAGTGCCATTGCACACATGAACTCACAGTAGCTGTGACTGCCACGTACAAGACCTGAGCTGCCCAAGATCAAGCCAGCCAAACTCCCAGCATAGATGGGGAGGGAGCTCAGGAAGTCCCACCCAGAGCTAAGGAGCTACTGTCAATTGATTTACTAGGGAAGGGAGAGTCAGTTTTCTTCAGTGACACAGCTTCAGAAAGGTTACTCATGCTCCAGTAGATGGCCCCACACCCACACACATATACAGGCACATAAGTGGACTCAGTGGGTTTAAAAAAAGCACATGAAGTTTGGAGGGAGAAGAGTTTAGGATACAGGATGACTTGGAAGGGAGGGAAGGGGGTGAATTTGCTCAAAATGCATGCATGTATGAAACGAAACTTTTAAGAAAACAAATCACAGTATTCACAACTGTTAAAGTTATCACTTTCTGTTTCATAATTATTCATGTCATTATTAAAATCCATTAAAATGCTCAATAGTAATGCATCCCAGAATACTACACCAGCTCTTCAAGTTTCAGGATACTCAAGACGTATTACTGCAGCATATCGAAACACATATAATACCCCCCCTTTAAAAATAGGACACACTAAAACTATAAGAGCAATCAAAATTTAGTACACCAGCACAACCAAGTCCACTACCAATAATCTCATTGCACTATATAAATCAGTAAAGTTTCTCAAGGAAATCCTTGAAAACGTGAAACAAAAATAATGACAAAGTAATACACAACATGCTATAATTCCTACATGGTATTAAACCATGATCAATGAAATGAAAATCATTGACTTTTGATAATAAAAGTATTAATGACCAACATAAAAGCTCCACCATTCTACTTTAATACTATTAATCAATTATTCATTGATTTCTCAGCCCTATCAAATATCTCTGTATGATGAATTTTAGGCTGTTGTATGTCTAGTTTTACAAATCACCAGATTATTATTCTGAAGTATACATTAAGATTAGATTTGATAACTGCATTGTGCTATCATTCATGTGTCAAGATGTAAGTCATGGTTGAATCATTTGATATATGCAAATGGAACTTTCATATTTTTCATCTGTATATTTCTGCACATTGGCTTAGTATACATTTGGCTCCTATGTTTTTAAAAATTCTTTATTGAGAATTTTATACAAATGTACAGGAAATATGATCATATTCACCTCCATTTGCCTTCTGGAAATTCACCTGTATCTCCACAACATGTCCCCACCCAACTTCATGTCTTTTTTTTTTTTTTTCTAATAACCCATTGAGTCTAGTTAATGCTAACCATACATATATGGGTGAGGGGCAATCCAGTGGAGCATGGGAAACTTACCAGTGGCCACATCCCCTGAAAGGAATGATTCTCCCTCCCATAGCAGCAATCAACTGCCAATAGCTCATTAGTAAGGGGTGGAGCCTAGAGATCATCTACCCCATCTATGCCAGAATTTTGGCTGGCTTGATCCTGTAGGTAACCACTGTTTCTGGGAGTTCATGAGTGTGGTACTAGTCCAGTAGTCCTGGTAAAAAAGCTCCTATAGAAACAGGAAACTTAGGGAACATTTGATTATTTGCAGTTGTAGCTACACACCATTTGGAGGTTCTGTCCTCCCTAGATGAATATTGTTCTAGGGGGAGCAAATGTCATTATTAATCTCATCTATGCCTTTAACTAGGCCTAATGTGCTAGACCAAATGAGGAGGCTTTTCTGTTAATAAAGCTATTATAGCATGTTCCTCTCCTTTCCACTTTATCTTTACCAGATAAAGTCTCAGCGCTGGTAATAACCCACCTTCTAGTCCTTCATGAACTAGAATCAACCCAGTAGAATTAACTTGTTTTCTAAAAAAAATATTATTACTTTATGTGTATGCATGTATTGCCTGCATGTAGGTAAGTGCGCCCGTGTCATGCAATGCCTGCAGAGGACAGAAGAGACTGTCTGATCCCCTGGAACTCG